AGAAAAACTCTGGCAGGGTTTAGCAGACATTATTTATCCTCCAGTATTCCAAAGTCTATTGAGTAGTGGCATGTTAAGTGCATGATGCTTAAAAACTCAGGACAGCTGAGACTGCATCATACAGCCCTGCGATTGGCTGTCTCCAGCCGCGAACAATCTTTCTTCTGAAGATTTCTTCTGAAGCATTCAAATGAATTGATTAATTGTCACACAACTTCTGTTTGCAATTTATAACTCAGTCTTTAAAAGAGAGTGAGGAGCAACACGGTCAGGTGCTGAATTCAAGAGCATATCAACTCCTGGAGGAATGAAACCATTTGTGTCGAATGTCAGGATTCAGAATGAAGTACACTAATTTCTATCTGGTTCCATTTTATTTTTAAAGTAAAAACACAAGAGCTCCATTTTACATGTAAACCATTTCAATATTTGACCCATAGAGAGCACTGTCCCACACTACTGAGCTAAATATACAGTGACTAATGCATTCCAACACTGGAATGGTAAGCAAGCTATTTTAATTTTGCTTGTATATATCAGAATTGATTAATTTTAATAGAAAAGACAGCTGATAATACATTGCAGCTTTCAATGGTGATTCAAAGTTAAAAACTACCCGGATACCATCTTTACAATGCTTTCAAGGAAAAAATGCCACCTGGTGACAACGTGATACAACTGTTTTGTTTTGTGTGTGAAGAACAGACACATCTGAACCTGGTGAATGGAAACATGAGCCAAACTTTATTGATAACAGAACATAAAGGACACTCTTTTAAATGCAGTACCACTACAACAACCATAGAGAGAATGGTCGAGATAATCAATAGTCACAAAAATTCAACAGTGTTTTCTGATTTTAATTATTTGGGTGTTTATCCTACTATTCTGATCATGTTAACTTTGAGTTAATTTTTGAGTAAACAGCTTTTCGACATCCATCTTGAGTAATGGCTGTTATCTTGTATTTCCCGGTGAAGTTTCCTAATCAAGCATTTCATTCCATACTGTATACAGTATATCTTTGGATCACCCAATGTACAATTACCTGCACCGTTTGAACTTATCCACTCAAGTGCTTAGAGCTGATGTTTTGTGTTTATATTTTATATTTGTACCAGTTTTTTTTTACTCAAGATTGGTCATTCAGTAGGTAGTGTTGTATGGGATTATAATCTGTCTCTGAGTTAGAGTTTTCATTTGCTCCTTATGTTTACATGGGTCTTCTCTGAGTGCACTGGTTTCCTCTTACAATCCAAAGACATGATGTTTGTGTGCCCAGTGATGAACTGGTGTCCTGTCCAGGATATATCCCCATTTTATAGACTTTGTATGTCAGGTTAGGTTTCAGTGCATTAAAATCCTCTAAACAAAAACGTGATACTGAAAATGGATGGTCACAAAATGTCAAAGGATAGCAGAATACACACTAGTTTTCCTAGATGTTAAAAGAGTACTGCAACATTGTCTGTGTTTTGAAATAATGAAGGCAGCACAGCAAACACACAGGTACTGCTTCAGGGAAATTTCTAGAACAGGACCAATGAATAACGTGTTTTTTAAAGATTTTTATTTTTGATCTTTAAAAGTAAGGAAGTATTAATAACAAATTAGTTGTGATTGTGGTTTCAAATTGTAACCAACAACATATGTTTTCATTTTAATACCTCAAAGTAGAACATACATTTGGGGAATTGTACTGAAATAATTCTTCAAAACTCAGATTTTTAACTCAGGCCAAGAAAAGTGGGCTTTTAAAAATAAAACATCCATTTACAAGAATCTTTTTTTAAATATGGAATATACTGGAAAGCAATATTATTTAATACTAATATACATTTATTTTATAGCAATATCCTAATATTGACTACAACAGCTGGAATAAAAGAACAATAAGATACAGTATTTATTTCAGAGAATAAGAGAATATTTTCCTCACAATATTCATGCTTTTACCCCTGAATTTATCACCATCACCATCTCCATCATCATTATCGTTGTTGTTGTTTTTATCATTATTTTAATGTATTACTTTAAAATGAAAGTTTTACATTTTGGTAGTTCTGAATTTGCTGTTATTATTATGGGTAGCTGTATTTCTACAGTCATTTATAATACTGTATATTAATGGCTAATCATTTATCAATTTTCTTCTGATTAAGGGATGTGGGGGAGCCAAATGAATCCTAAGATTTTGCTGTAAAGGTTGTTGCAAGATGTGGTTGCTTTGAACTACAATATTTTGTTGAAAGCTCCAATAGTCCAGGATGAGATTTTCTCTCTCAAGCTTATGTGCCACAAAAAGAGAAACTCGTTGTTTTCATTTTGGCAACATTATCCAGTAGTTAGTAGCACAGCTTAAAAGCAAATCACAAATTAAAAAGAAGTTAACAATGGTTTGTGTTAGGCTTACAATGTCTTCTGTGGTTATTTTTAATATGTATCATAGGCTTTCGTAAAAAAAAAAGTCTTTTCAATATGTATTCATATTTTCTGTATCCACAAAGATACGTCGAAATCCATTCAGTGTTTGTTATCGCTGAGCCATATTACTCACCCAAGTGCTGCTTTTTGTTTTTTTTAAATAATATTGAAATTACCAAAATGATGATGAGGTTCATCTCAATCATGTAAGAAGCAATAATTGACTAAGGACCTTGCTAGATTTGTGAAATACTGTATGTTTTAACAATCTTTCACTCAACATCTTGGATATCCCCAAAAGCCATACTGCTAACAATCTGTCAACCAGAGCTCTCTTCTCTTATTTCCTGTGTCTCCAGTATGCCTAGAGTACTTTCTTGGTGCTTTTTGCAGCATATAACTAGCGTCCCTCAGTGCTGCAGAGCTGCTTCTTCGTATTAGTTCTCTGGGGTGGCTTGCCATCATCATCAGATAATCCAGCTAGTGTTGACATCTTAGATTTACGCTGATCCACTTCAAAGTCTTTACCTTTCCTCAGCCTCAGGTGTCCTACAGCAGAACCCTGAAAGAAATCAGGATTTCCACTGCAGTTCCCCCTGGCAATTGAGACAAGAGCTTTAGACTTCTGACTGCTACTCATAGGTACCAATGGTTTGCAAGGAAAGGTGTTCTTTTTGAGTGATGTCTCTCTTCTGATACCACAATTACTGCCTTGGAAGTGATCTGAATGTCTTTCAGGGACTGAACAAGGTTTCTTTAATCTTGTCTGGGGTATTGCTGTTTCTCTGAAAGAATCATGAGAAATATTTAAGACGGTCTTTTCCAGCCCCGTTTTTGCATGCTGTTTCATTCCTTGGAGGTTTGATTCTGTACCCATGACTTCCACTTTCTTGGCAGCTATTGCAGCTTCCTGCTCAATTTCCTTAATTTTCTGTTGCTGTGACTTCTTGACATCTTTGTTGACCTCCAAGGGAGCCAGCTTCACTGGCCTTCTTGGCAATACATTTTCGGATTCTTTCTGTATGGCCTCTTGAGGCTGTGACTTGACTTCAGCGTGCTCCCTCTTTACTTGGCTTTTAAGAAGGGATCTTCCAGCAGTAACCCGAGCCTTGTCCCGCTCTCCATTGCTCTGTGACAGATGGAAGCCAGGTGTTTTTAAATCTGTGCCATTTGTAACTGGCAATCGGAGGTTAAGGACACTCACATCGCTGATTGTATTTTTAATTTGGGTGGTAGGCAGATCATTAATCTGGGGTCCCTTAAAAAAACAGTAAAATGAAGATATACAGTACTGTAAGATAAAACATAGAGATCAACAGCTGTTATAAGAGTTGTATTATAAAACCTATAGAAGAATTAGGTCTTTAAACAAGTGAACTATGATTAAAATTATTTTTTAACCAGTTTTTTTTTAACCATCCAGTTCTTTTTTAAAAACTAAAATTGTAAGGGAATTTTCATTTGACAAAATGCAGCATTTAACATACTTGTAGACAGGGTGATCTGAATCTTTCAACATACTGTATAATCTTATCTGTTGTGTATTAGCAAATAGAAATGTTGTAATCTGTCTTTCTTTTCTATTGTTTTTACTTTAAGAGCATTAAATGTTACAGTCTCTTTAAATTGACCTTTCATCTAAATTTGTAATTTGGAAAGGTTCAGAAATTAAAAGCTCTTACCTGGCAGTACTTTACAATTAACCCATAAGCATGTACATTTATCTGGGTTTGGCAAAGATAACACTAAAAATTAACTAAAGATATAAAAGTACTTAATGTACTGTACACATTTTGATTTCAGGGACTTTTTGTGCTTATTAATGATAGATAATTGAGAATTATGGATCATTTCAAATTTTATTTAGCTTTTTTTACCTTCTCTTTTACCTATCACTTTTACCACTGCCTAACTTTTGCCATGTGTACCCCAGAGATGTTGAAAATGCTTTTTGTTCCAGAGCAAAGCACAGGCAGAAAAAGCCAGTTCACTTTCCTATACAACAGTACTTTACAAGACATGTATAGTAACTAACATTCCTTTGTTAATTTATGAACATTAAATCATCCCAAAAACTGGCAAGGAAAGAATTTTGTAAAGTTGCCTGTAGAAATGTGCCTTTGGTCAGGCACACTTAACTTTGTACAGTAGATGTGATCAGGTATTTTAGTGTTTGCAGGTATTTTTTTCCTCCAGATCATAAATCTATGACAAGTGGCAAAACTTCAAATAAACCAGTAAGAGTCAAGTAACATGTACTATGACAAAAGCCTGCTTTGCATATTACCATGTTAATTTAAGACTACAATGTACAGTAGAAAGAAAAATGTTAAAAGAAGATAATAATGATAAGGACCTCAGACATCACCTATACTTGTTTTCTTATGATTCACAAGTTGAAATTTTTGAAAAATATATATACAGTATATATTTGATTTTACAGTTCTACAAATTAAAATCTGTATCATCACATTGTTTCATGTGAAATTTTATACAATTTAATGCTTTGAAATGTTGTTGCATTGATTCAAGTTTCAAAATATTTTTTTTTAAAAGAAGCATTACTTACAAATTGACCTTGCTTTCTTTTAAACATTTCCCAGGGAGTGAGTACGGATTGCAAATATTCTGTATCTCGGTATCTTTGGCAGGATGATGCAGAAGTAACTTGGCTTTAGTGATTGACATTGCCTGGGACAGAAGCTTAACAACATTTCTGTAAGGTGATTAAAGAGATTAGGGTCACTTCACAGGCAGTGAAATCTCCAGTGATTTAAATCCTGCTCATCTTTGAACAGAGGCCCGGAAGCCAATACATTTACTGACTTACTCACAATAATACCTTTTCAAGAGGTATACAGTATGGTTGTATGACAAAAAAGTACATTTATTTATTAAACTGCAGTTTAAATTTTGTACTTAAATTCACTAGATGGAGACAAAGCCCACTATAATACAGTTGTAAAATGTCAGCATAGCGATGCCCTTTATTTTGCCAAGGTTTTGTGGATTAGAGCCGCAAGTGTCTTGTGCAATTAGTTTATTAAACAGTGCAGACTCAGACTCTGCTATTTTAGCTGATTTTGTTGCTATGTCAGTCCTGTTTTTTTTTTCTTTTTTTGCTGTTGCTTGTATAATTTAAGTGTGTGTTGCAGAGATACTGTATAGTCAGATTGGAATAATTTACTTCATAGCTAGTTCTAGAAAATAAAGAAAAGAGGAAGATCAGCAAAGTTAAATGGAGTTAGCCCTGATTTCATTTAACTACATTCGGAGGAATATTTGCAAGGTGTTCCATTTTAACTGTAATCTACTGGAAGATTGAAATTGCTCCTGAAGTGATTCACTAAAGGCAAAGCAAGAGAGGTAAATGAGAAATAATGCAAAAGGTTGGGTTCCTGAAATTGGTTTCAGGAGGCATTGGTTTTAAGCTTTCTTCTGCATAATCAACATTCTTTTCTGTCTTCTTAAATCTAGGCCTTAGGCAAAATAAAATGTATTCATTTTAAGTGCTGTAACAGTCTTTTTCTAGCATCGGTAGGATTTTTGGGGCTTTTGTATGCTTTAAAAGGAGTTGAAAAAGCTCTGGCTTGAGCTATCTTGATACTTTTATATGCTTACAAAAACATATTTTTATTCACAGTCATTAAAATACAACACAGTGAAGTAACAAAAAGTGAAGTTATAAAAGGTATAGAAAGTATGCAGGGATGGACAATGGATGAAGTAAATAAGTGCTTGAGCGATTATTGAGGAAAATATTTCTGCTTATTCAGCACTAGAGCACAATTTTTTTCATGGAAACTATTTTTCCTTTAGTTTTGTGATCCCTGGTGTTCAGCCCCATTGTTCACGTTTCAAACCTTCTTAAATTAGAGGAAAAAGTAGGATATTATCAAGGATTTTATTGGTGTTAACAAAATCTGCACCCAACTGTGCGATTTGAATGGAAGTTTGCAGTTTCACAAATGAGTGTTCATAGCAGAATAATTAATAAAGTTCACATAGGCTATGACTGTATAGCAATAACTATATTAATACATATTTGAATAACACATTTACTATAGAGCAATGACATTATATGAAAACCTGGCAGTGTTGAATTATATCTCTGAAAGCTCTGTAATGGAAATTTACTTTATATAGCAGAGCCTTGTTATTTTTGATTCAATTTCATCATTTGTCCTTTTTTCCTGTTACCATGGTATGATTCACCACTATTTCTATTCGTATTACCGCATTTCACTTCTCTATCCTTATACTGTACTAGATACCAGTTTTCTATGTTTAATTATGTTGAATTTATATTTACTGTACATCGTGAGTAAATTGATGTTTAAATATTTGTTTGAAAAAAACGTTTATCTCCATTGTAAACAGAGTAAGAAGGTGATTAGCAGCTTCTAGCTGTTTTCAATTTAGGTTCTTTGTACGTTTTTGGTTTGGTTTGTTAGTACTTCTTGAATTTTAAGGCCATGGTTAAGTAGTAGGGCTAGTAAGGCCAAGTAGGCTAACTGTCTCACTGTGTAATAAAATGTAATATAACAAACTAAGCAATTTTATTGAAAAGGGATGGATGTTACACCTCTTTAGCATGCAATATATTTTGGGTAGGAGTCACCCTGCAATACAGACTTAGCATTTCAAAAATGACCGTGGGAGATCAACATACAGTAGCTATTCAAAATGCACGACTTTAATATAACCAATACTTTATGTGCAGTATTGATTCTGCTAATAATTAATATTTAATAATGCAGTTTTGCCTCTTTTTGCAAAGGAGTGAATTGGGAAGGGAGCAAGTTCAATAGTTCTGTTTTACAGCATGCACTGTACCCCTGATTGAAGGTTACCCAATCCTTAGCTAGACTAAAATATAACAGTTTCTGTATCTGACTGCTTCTCTGCACATTATTTTCAGAGTTTGCGCTCTCAGTTTAGGAATTATTAGCACAACATGAAAGTATCCATTATTTTTCAGAATATGTCTCCTGTGGTAAGTCATTCCTGTATGGTTCAAATGAGTCAATATCAGGTCTCAGGAGTACTGTGTTACTATCCCTACAGTTGTGCTTCCCACATGAAGGCCTTAAATTATATGGAGGAATGTGTGAAATCAATTCTTTTGGGCAATTATCACATTTAAGATGGTTCACTGCATTTAATATTTGCATGTATCCAGTTAAGAGTCCAGCCTCCTTCTATAAAAAAAGATTGTAACTAAAATCAATATCATCATTCTCTTATTTTTTATAAATGTAACATTATAGTGCAGTTCTTAAAAATTAATTTTCTAATTTGAACATAACACAGTAATATAGCAAATGATTCATTTATTTTATATTACTGTATCTGTTCTTTTTGTATTTTTAGGAATGTATTTTCATTTTTATATATACTGCATAATGTGTACATTCCTTTTTATAGTACACTATATAAATCAATTTAAATATTTGCAGTCTTCTAAAAAATGGTACAATAAAAAAGTAACCCTGTGAAAAAAATATTTATTGTCAGCTTAAATCTAAAGAAAATAATCAGAAGACCTACAGTAACTGTCAATCACATTTAGATAATTTAACATTTTTTAGTAGTGTATCCAATGCAATCTTGGTACAATAATGTACTACAAATCAAACTGTAATGCAATCAGAAATGTAGTCATTGCAAGGACTCCATCCTATCAAAATATTTATTTCTTAAGAAAATCAGCTTCAAATTACACTATTATTACTTTCTCAATACATTGTAAAGACACATCTAAAACAATTATCATAGTTTTACTTTTAGCAATATTGAAGGTGATAGGCGTAATTCTATTAGTTAACTCTATGAAACTGCCAAGTTGTGCTTTCATGTCATATCTTATCAAAATAATATAATCTATATAGTTAATACAGAAATTAGCATGTAATCACTCAACCAGTTCCTTGAGGAAGCTCTTCAAGGTGACAAGTCTGTCCAGGGAAGCAATTGTGATCATGTGCTTTAATTTTATAGGTTATGTAGCTACAGTATTGATGAACCGGATATCTAAAGTTGGGGAAGGTGTGTTTACCTTCCTGAGCATGTGCCCCTGGACGTGAGTGTCATGTAAGGACATGTAAAGAAAGTTGTCTCTTTAATAGAGTGATTGCAGGCTGACGAGGCTGGGGAAAGACCATAAGGCTGTCTGTTTGCCAGTAACATTCAAAGTTTTTTTATACAATATGTGGTGGCAGGTAATGCTAATCCTACTTTCCCTGTCACAGGTCAATGTTCCATATTTTCATATTTTTCATATCAGTTTCTTACAAGCTAAATGTTTAATATACCTGAAGGAAGCAAGGTATGGTAAGGATAATATGAAAAAATTGACATCAAACTCACATATTGTCAGAGGTGGACTGACAAGAAATAATTAGGTACACTAATCCTTCATGGCATCATTAGTTTGGAATTTAGCCTCCATTGCGTTTTGATTTTATCTGCTTAAGGGAAGTATCATATTAAAAAAAGTCAGAGAACTGATTTTCAAAATGGCTGGAGTCTTACAAAAGTTATTTTTCTCCTTGTAAAAGATTATATTATTATGTTGATACTCATATTCTCTTTACACAACAAACCGAGGTACAATTCCGTCAGGTTACTTTTTCAATAGTTTTCTCTGAGTCTGTGGCATGCCTAAGAGTTTTAATAGATGATATGCCAGGGGAGTTATTCTTTTTCTGTCAGATTTAATGAGAAAAAACAAAACTGTAGAACCGAGAATAGTGGATGTGAAGAAAAGTTGCTTTAATAGGAATGGGAAAAGAAAAACGGTGTGTGAATGACAACATGTTCTTTTAAATACAGGCCCTCTCAATTGGGAAGGCACTGTCATATTCTTTTAGCCTTTCAATGACGTATTAATTGACTTTCACATTTTTGGTTGTTTACTGTTATCATGCAAATTGAAATGGAATTCAAATAATTAAACACTCTGTAAACTGCAAATTAAATGCTTTCAAGGGTTACAAAATTGTGATAATGTACCTAAAAACGTGCTTCACAATCATAGCTGAGGCTCCATCATGCTATGGAATATTCAAGAAAAGAACATCACCTAAGCCATTTTTTAGTCTCTTAAATTCAGACAAAGCTGTTCAATGTGAGGTCCGCTTCAGCACCTGTTCATTAAATAGCTCATTGTGATGGCAAAACTGTCCTCTGAGGCAACTGGCTTTATAAACATCATCATTTGAGATGCGAAAAATTACAGGCTTAATGCTGAGAATAGTCTCAGTTCCTTTACCACTGTTTTTATTGTGTCGCCTCTTTAGGTCCTTGACGTCCAAGGCTGACAATTTAATTATTAGGGTGCATGTAGGGATAAATAGCATTGCTATGCACGGCCTCCCACCTATTAAACACTAAGTTGAAAAATACAGCTGCAAAAAACCCTGTAGATAAATGTCCATGGCTCATTTTCTGTCGACATCCTTCCTGCTTTTGTCAGTAAGAGATACACTTTCTCCCACTGAAAACTGTTTTTAAACTTAAGGTAGAGGTAATTAGCATTGGTTGTTGGGCTACATTTACCATGATGATAATGATAATAATAATTATTAGTGGCAGTAATGCTGGATTCATCAATAGTGCGAACACCAGTATTGTATGTAGTAGGTGCCTCATCTT